CTGACACTATTAATTGCCATTAATTGTTATCGTAGCATATTAAAAAAAAATTATAATAAATTTAACAAAACAATATTATAGGCAAAGGTAATAATTTATATAAAGGTAATCTACTGTATATCTAACTGGAGATGGCTTTCCAACGGCCATATGTATTTCAATATTACGTCCTTATATTTATTACGTCATTATCGTTACGTCCTTGTAAATGCTTAGATAAATAAATATTTTGGAATATGGTACACAGTCGTAGGCGCACATCTTCTGTGAATTAACTTTACTCTGCATTACGTATTTTATTTATTTATTTATTTATTGTTTATTTATTTATTTATTTATTTTTAGAATCAGGATTTATATAGGACCTATCACAATCCGGAAAATATACTAAGGCGTTGGCATCATTATATCTCTGGTCACTGGATACTGAATTGGCAAACCGGCACATTTTTGTGCAACTTTCTCTGCTCCCTGTGGAGTACCCCTAGTCATGCTGCTTTACACCCTTAAACGCATACGTTTAATGCCACAACAACCTACCAGTTACCCATTAATTTATACTCCTGGGTGGGGAGAGGTAAACATTAGTAGAGTGCCTTGCCCAAAGACACAGGGAATGCGAGAGCGGCCGCAGCGACGGTCTCGAACTCCCTCACACGTTGCGCCACGCACTCCTACATGAAAAGTCATAGACCTACATTATATTATGTAAAACAGTGAAACATACAGAAATCCTTAAAATATTTACTGGTATAATGTTAGTGTTTATTATGTATTGCGAGTGGACTATTGCTCAGGTTAATATCAGGGAGTTGCAGGTGTGTTACAATAATGCTTTCAGAAAATGTATGGGCTTCCAAGACAATGTACTGCTAGTCAGATGTTTATAACATGAAATATTTAATCTTTCTATAAATTTTTTTAAAAGAACTTGCTTTGGTTTCATGATTAGAATGGTAAATAGTAACAATATTCTATTCTTGTACTGTAAATGCTGTTCTGAAATCTTGCATGGATGAGCAAAAAATGTACTTGAATTGGATGAGACACTTGAACATCTAGTGCTTTTTTGTAGTATATTTATATGATTCTTAATTATATTATATTATATTATATTATATTATATTATATTATATTATATTATAT